TAGAAATTTATTCTCTGGTCAACAGATTTCAAATGTTTAATTAATTTGTAGTATGACAGTAAGGTATATAAGAAGTTATTTAATTTTGCTTGGGCTATTATATTGACTAGGTATTGAGGTTTAATGATGATATGGAATTTGAATTCTATATAAATTTACACTATGTGGTTGGGGCATTTTGCATAGTAAATATGGTTACTACTCATATATATCATATTATTTGATTGGTATTCGATTTCTGATTATTTCTTAGGAATATGATTATTATATCTTAATTTGGCTTTAGGTAGGGTGCCCCGCTAAAAGAACTGGATTCTTCCAGGAAGCATCCCGTGCACAGACCTTGGTCTACATATATATTAAATTATTAACCATTCATTCTGTATGTGCACGAAAATTTATTTCAATCAAAACGCCTGGACGATCCCGAAGTGTCATTTCGAATAAGAATCTTGACAGAATCAAGAAAAAGAACAGAATAAAATGTCCTTATAAGATCCAACTCAGGCAAAAACAGACCACATTACATGCACAGTAAACCAAGGGAAAACGTGTGGATTTTGCTAGTTTCATTTCTGATCGGATTGAGTCAGACAAAGATTTTCTACAGCACATATTATTTTCGGACGAAGCCCACTTTCGCTTATCAGGGTATGTTAATCGCCAGAATATGCGGTTCTGGGGCAAAAAAGCCATATGACTGGGTGGAAGCTCTAAAAACAAGGACAGGGGCGTGAGTTAAAGTTACTGTTTTTGTTGCACTTGGCCAAGATGCTGGTTTAATCGGTCCTTATTTCTTTGATGATAAGGAGGGGGTAGCAAAGACAATAAAAACAGATAATTATATAAAGTTTATTAAAGGAAAGTTAATACGAGCTCTGAAAAGGAAGGGCAACTTTTAAAAATGTATTTTCCAACAAGATGGGGCACCACCTCATTGCAGTCGGGTCGCCATTGACAGTGATGTTTGGTGAGGAGGCTAATCTGACAATTTGTTGGTACTTGTTAGTTGTAGTATCTGTTATTAATACCGTAACGAATACATTATACGCCGCTATTAATGTCTTTCCCGGTTCTCCAAAATTATAAGGTTATACGCATTAACTTATACAGTTATACGTATTAACTTATACAGTTATACGCATTAACTTATACAGTTATACGTATTAACTTATACAGTTATACGTATTAACTTTATGAATAACCAAACGTTTTCAGACGGAGGAGACTTGTCTAAAGTGTTTGATGATATCGATCCTATATGTTATGTGCTGTTTTCGTTGTAATATTTTGTCGAATTGTTCTATATAATTATAACTCGAAAATTCTAGATTCATTATTGGATCTGACATTATTAAGTTAAATGGCACCTAGAACTCTAAGTTCTAACAGTGCCTGACCTGTTTCAAACAGTTGCAGTACAATAGAAGACATGCTTGGAGACCTGCAAGAGGAAATCAGGCTTCCATCAGATTATTTAAATGTTTATCTTTTTACAGAGCAATTTAATAGTAAATGTTTAAGTCGTCTATATAAGAATCTAAAGATGATGCTGTAAAGGATTCAGAAAATCAGATCATGAGACTGTTAAGTGTTAGTCGTACACTCTAAAAATTAAGGAGATACAGATATAGAAATTAAATATATTAGTGGAAACTTCTATGAATAATAATTGGGACAAAAAAAAGTAAACAATCAAATTGTCGTCAAATTTTTATTCACATAAAGTGATAAACATATCAATCATCTCAAACACATTGAAACTAGTACCTAAGATGGTTAAAAAACGAGTGAAACGGGAAGAAGGGCCACCACGGCGACCTGTCCCCTCACATTGAGATGATCTTCCGAAAGCGGACTAAGGATTATTATCCTAAGGATGAGCAAGACTAACGAAATTGCTGCTACAAAATATCAGGCCTGCCTCTAGTCTGCTCTAGAGAAGAAGGATAAATCTCTAGCTGGATACGGAGCGGGTATAATGGATGCTGGAGACATGTCAACTGGTGGAGTCCGGATTGGGCCAGGAACTACGATCGAGAAAACCCCAGCCAATAATGACGACTGCAAAGAGTTGGACTTTGTTGTAGTGATACATGGTCCCCTTCTTTACATTTGCCGTGTGAAAGAGGTAGACAGTGAATCGAGAGAGAGGTTTCAGTAGCGTACATGACGAAACTAAGTGAGAATCGGTATTATTGGAAAGAGGAAGCTGGGTTTGAGCAGGTTTGCTGGGAGTTCCTGGAGAGAATTGTGTGCAAGGTGGAAGTACCATCCATTATAAATTCAAGTAATGGTCTTGAATATGAATTTACACAAGCAGATATAGATAAAGCAAAAAAAGCTTTTAAAGACTGCAAAGAAGCAGAAAGAAAACTCAGAGCTAGATCTATGATAAAATAGTATTATAACTTTACTTACCTACTTACAGATACTAATTACTTAATCTTAATGTTTAATTATTATCCAAATCTTGCGTTGTTACTGTACTTTTCGTATTCTACTTTACGAAACTAAATACATTTTCACTTAACTATAAAATTACAAACGGCTCCTCCAATGGCTCCTCCAATGAAGTAGAATGGTCCCCCCCCCCCCCCCCCCCCCCCCCCCCCCCCCTTCAGTAGAGCTCTTAATTCCAAATGAGCCTCCATTTCATAGAATAACTGGATTTACGTAGTACTGGAAATGTGCCAGCCGTTTAGCTTATAATAAAATTGATGACAGCATCCAATTGCGTTTTAAAGGAAACATTACACTGAGAATATCATGGCAAATTAGAGTTTTGCATCTCCATCATCGAACTGCCGAACAACAGGATCACATGGCAGCAAATTTTAAATCTCACCTTATCAATATTGAAATTTACATAAATGCATGTTTTATTAATATAAGATAAACTTACAAGTCTTGTTCGGGATTCCAGCAGGCAGGCATCTTCCATGAGCGTCACAGGACAGATGTATCAGGGATAACATTATCCTAAACATCGAAACAAGAAAAACTTATTCAATTCATTGAAGACAGAACACAAATCTACTTAACAGAGATTGAACTGACCAGGTCATGTTTTACAGCGAAGGAGATGTGTAGAAGTGATGTTCCCTCTGCTTGACTCCGCTCACTTTCAACATCCCGTGTCATTTCTTCTTGGCTGCAGAATGTGTGTAAGCCACGTATAGTCATAGAACGATACAGACTGTTGATTTGATGCTATGTACATATCATTACTAATTATGACTCTCCAAATTTATTTACTAGTACTTCAGCAGAGGTAAGGTCAACCTACCAAGTTAAGTTTTCAGCTCAGAAACACTCAATAAAAAACAATAAATATAATTTCAATCCTTAGAAAGCTAAAGGAGAAGCTTAACTCACTCATTTTGTTCCTTCTCCTCCATATCATTGAAGTTACTTGTTAATCCAAACACAACTTTCTTGTGATGACCCTGACATGAGCCATTTAACTTTGATCAAACAAATATATACATTTGTTTGATTAGGTTTGTAAAATAAAATTGCTGTTCAAAACTTAATTTTTGAGTATTTGGGGGGGGGGGGGGGGCAACCATATTAAAGTATATTAAAATGTAGGATTTTTCCCGATTTTGACCCGGGGATATACTTTAATATACTTTAATATACTTTAATATACTTTAATATACTTTAATATATCCCTATCTCCTTGGAGGCCTACATCAAAAATTGTTGCCCAAAATAAGCTTGAAATGCAATCCTTAATCGATTCCAAAAAGTTCTTGAAAAAATATTGAAAACTGATGGAGTTATTTCAATTTATTGAAGTTATTTTGGCTAGTATTCTGAACCGAGATATTATGTGCAATTTTCCCAATTTTGTTCATGGAGGTCTTTTTACTTAGTATCCACTATATCCAACAAACACTGAGTTATATCTTTCACATAGAGTTAGTCTCATTAAAAAATATTGAAATTTTATCGAATTTGGGCAAAAGCGAATTTGGACGAAAGCGTATGCCCAAATATGGGCATATTTTTTAAAGCTCATAGATCAGCCAATTTTTGACCAATCTGGATGGAAATTCATGTACTAGTCCTAAAACAGGCTTATCTTGCGAATCTGAGTGAAAAATATAGTTCATCATGTAAATCTTAACGAAGAATATAAATCTTCTAATTGTAGGTATATTAAAGTATATTAAAATGTAGGATTTTTTCCGATTTTGACCCGGGGATATACTTTAAGGGGGCCGGGGGGGGGTCTTCATCAAAATTCTCTCGAAATTGACTTTATAGTTGTTTCTGGTAGAGGGGAGTGATATATACCAGCTGCTTTTGGTCCCATGGAAAAATATTGTTCCTAGCCGAAATTATCGCTGGTCTAAGGTCAGCGCTTGCCGCTTATGTGTAATTGTATTGCGCGAGCGATTTTCAATCGCAAATTCTGAAAATCGAGTCTAAAAATCTATCTTCTCCTACATTTTTTGAGCAATCACCCTGAAACTTTCAGGATATGTTCTAGGGACCATTTAGAAGATTTGATCGAGCCAAAATTTTGAGATAGGCCTTTAAAATTTTTTTATTCAATTTTGAAAATCTTGGACCTCGTTTTTTTACGATTTTTTCAGGTTTTCGGCTAGGAACAATATTTTTCCATGGGACCAAAAGCAGCTGGTAGATATCACTCCCTTCTACCAGAAACAACTATAAAGTCAATTTCGAGAGAATTTTGATGAAGACCCCCCCCCCCCCCCGGCCCCCTTAATATACTTTAATATGGTTGCCCCCCCCCCCCCCCCCCCCCCCCCCCCCAGTATTTTAATTAAGAAGGCATCTGTATAGTACATACCCTAAGAAAACTCATTCAAAAGTTACCTTAGCAGCTGATAGAAGTAATAAGTGAACAATCTGTGGAACAACATCAAACTTCACAAGAGACAGGCTGGAACAAATCTTCTCGATGAAAAATGCCATCTCACTTTGTGAAACTGTTATGTCCTGAAACATCTGGCCAATGTGTAGGATGTTGTTTTGGGGCCACCTAAAATTAATATCATATAATCTTAAACATAGTTTAACTGTCTGCATTATATTAAAGTTTATAGAACCATATTTCCATTTCTGCACTGGGAAAATTTGTGATATAAGCTGTATGTACCCAGGTACCTGACACTGCAGATTTTGTTGATGAGATGAGATCTGTATTCTGGACCAGTAAACTCCTCACCATCACAAGATACCGTTTGTCGACAAGCCTCAAGACAATTCAAAACTTGTCCCAATACTTCAAAACTCCTGAATGTAAAACTAGAAATTTGATACAAATTAAAGATCTAATTTGCGATGTTGTAATATTATATGTTATTAATCTAATCTTGTTAACAATTTTCCAGTGAGCTACCTACTTTCCGCATGAGTTGTTGGATTTCATGATAACATCCAAAAAGTGTTGAGAAATTTCTTGCAGCGAGCCAACTGGAGCAGAAGAGACAAAAGTGTTGAGAGCTGTTATCAGTTCGGTTGTAACCTGGCAAACAGCCAATCAGATAACTTTTAGAATTAGAAATATCTAAATATGTACCACTTGTTTTCAAAATGGTAGAATCATTTGAACGACAATAGAACTCACTATTAAGTGAATATACACATTCATAGCATAGTACAGGGTGGGCCAAAAGTCAGTGGGCATACGTTGGCCTTAATAGCTCCACCATGTTTTATATTTGAGAGCTGTTGCTTTGCAGATGGCATACTGTACTTACTAGTTCGAGGATTCCGCCGTCAAAATTTGAAAATTCGAATATTTAAGACCACGCCCATTCAATATTAAAACACCTATACTGTTTTCTCTGAACATGCTGAACGCCTAATTTTTCAGAGACGGTAGAGTATCAAATGTTGCATATGATCTGAAAACATGAGGCAAAACAGATTAGAAATGACGAAGTTATCAAGCATTTTCTGTATCTCGTTAACAAAATTGACTGGGTGATTATGTGACACCGTGACACGACACCTTAATTGGGCACCCTTAACAATTCCCATAATGTTTAACGCGTAATGAATAAACTCGTTATGCTTCATATCTCGGTCATCTGAGAAGCTACAGTTCTAATTTTTTAAGGACAAACGTAATTCGAATGGCCAAACACAATTCAATAAAATTTAATTCGATCCGACTATCCCAACTATCAAATAAATGCAAAAATGAACCTTCATTTGAAAAAATGATCTCGAATATTTTTCAATTTGACAAATTCCTCGAACCAGTGGTGGTAGTAAGTCATACCAGAAAGAATTATTTCAATTGTGCAACCAGTGACTGAGCTATTAAGGCCAACGTATGCCCACTGACTTTTGGTATATATAATGGACACGTCCATACACTAGATAATTCGTTATTACTAAATTTAGCAAATCAAGCTCAAAACCTAACAGTTAAGAATAAGGGAGCTGATTAGAAACCTGCTTGACAAGATCTTGTTGCTCCAGTAAAGAAATTAGAGATATCGCACATTTACATGTAACAGTAATCTTCTTATCTGACAACAGGACGGTTAAGTTTCAAATTCAATCAGTGAAAATAGCTGTTCCATTATCTACTTATCAAATACCATTTATTTGGGTCAGGACTAGGATAAAATGTGAAACTAAGTATAAAACTATTTAAAAATATACAGTTGCTCACCAACCTGTCTATCTGATCAAGGACAGGTAATATCATAAACCTAGTGAAAATAAGTAGGCATTCTTGCACTTAAGTAAAATGATTAATTCAGATGGCATTACCAAACAAAAGATTTTTAGCAAACTCAACCAGCTTTCCAGCATTGTTTTTCTTAACCAAAAGCTTCATGCGTTCCTCTTCACTCTGAGTGTTGATAATTTCATACTTGTTTGCCATTGCACCTTATTAAATATATCATTCAAAGTTAAATAATTCGAATCGTCCTTCATTAAATTTAGAAGCTGATCTGAAGGTCTAAAAAACATAAAATAAAACACTATGAAGTATAAATTATGCTATTTTTTCAGGTAGGTATTTTTAAAGATTGGATAGAGTTCATCATGTTTTTACAAAAGAAAAATAGTCAAACAATTTATACAACAGAGAAAGGAATAAGCATGCCTGAAAGCTTGCACACACCGAAACACTAGTTCAGTTGAGTTTTTAAAGACAAGGCTCACATTAGGATCAGAAGAAAATTGTTAGCAGACATTAGGGGTTCTGTTTATAGTTGTTACTATGGGTAGCAGTCTTGTTGTGACAGAAAGTCTACACTATAATATGTTTATATTGTATAATTATACAATAAATTAAATCAAGTGATGCAATCGGCAAAGCACAATCGTAAATCATGAGCAATAAATATCATATATCTCTCATAGCTCTTCTCCTCAGATATCAGGCGAGGGAAAAGTGTGTCAAACAGTATATATACAATAAATTAATTCAAGTGTTGCAATTGGCAGAGCACAATACAGAGGTAACGGAAATTGTCCACTGCTACCAATATTATATAATATGAAATATAATTATTGTGTTCCACGACCTCCGACAAAGAATGGATACGGTTCAAGTCGAAGGATGGGAAGTATGAACACCCAAAGCCAAAGTTGAGGAAGGAGAGGCCCTTTGAGAGAGCGAAAGACTGGAAGCTGATATGGGACGAGGATACACTACCTGCCCAGTTCCCACAGCACATCTACAACACAGCGGAGAGACCCGACATTGTAGTATGGTCGGATAGTTTGAGAGAAGTAGTTCTGATTGAACTGACTTGTGGTGACGAGAGTAACTTCAGTGACCAAGTAGCACGTAAAGAAGCACGCTACAACAGAGAGCTGATTGGAAAGCTCTGCTCTTTACGGTAGAGATTGGGTGTAGGGGCTTCTGGCACCATACTGTACCAGCTCTATTTAACTACTTTGGATTGGCGAAGAGAACGAAGAATAAAGCCCTGAATGAGGCTGCTTTGGTCGCTCTTCGATGTTCCTATACAATCTGGTTAGCCCGAGACAACAAGAAATGGTCTACCTGCTACGACATCGCAAGGAGGCCAGAAGTCATAAACTGTGAAAGCTGAGTGTTGGGCCCATAAAACATGTTGAAAGCTGCAACCAGGATCACAAGTACTGGTGGAATACAGAATGACTTGCTAATCAGATTGATAGATGGAGTTGCTATCGAAAGATATAGAACTCAGGTAAACATCTAACCTGTAATAGTTTATTGTTGATTTTTCTCTAAATGCAACTTCAAGGTGGAGAGCTGGTGAAAAATTATTAAACATCTCTTTATACTTCATTCTCAAATTAAATTTTAAAGATTCAACAATTCAAAAATAGACATTCATTTTAATAAAACTTTCTCGCACATGCTTTACTCACAGGAAAAAACTTGGATAACACTTGACTATGGAATTTCGTTGAGTTATTTGCCCAAATTATCACCAATTCAATTCCACAATCAATTAAAAAATATATTATATCTGAATAAACTTGATTTCAAAGTAGTAATACCATATACTAGCACTAGCGCCATTGTAATTACTAATAAAACACGCTGTAAAGTGAGTCTACCACACACCACTCACATTGCCACAGCTGGTGAAAGGACACAGGCTCTATTAAGCTTTTATGAGCCCGGGTTTTACTGCTGAGAGTGGGTGACGTCGACATTAATTTTGTTTTCCTATTAAAAAACTTATAAAAGTAGTTTTATAGATTGACCAGTGGCGGTATCGAAGGGCCGCCGCTGACCCTCCGTCTTTGTTTTAAAAAAAAAAAAAGAAAAAAAAATTTGAGGGGGGCGCCAAACGTCGGTTGAATATGGGACAATTTCGAAAACATAACTGAAAGTACTAGTCAAAACGTGTGTTTTGCTCTAGATACACACATTTTAGAAATTTTACCGCGTATCCTCTAAAAATCACCTAATTTTTCGATTTAGGAAGGGGCAACAAGGGAGGGGCGCCAACAGGAGGCTCTTTTTCGGGGGTGAGGGGGGGGGGAGCGCCACAGGCAACGGTACGCACTGTGATTTGACATGCGATATTTTCAGTCATCACAATACATTATTGAACTATGAAATTGTTAAAATATGCTCGCTATACACTTTAGATACTAAATGTATATGTTTTCATATTAGCTTTATAATACAATACAATAACAAATAAAATATAAACATGAAAAGGCCAAAACCAACTCAAGCATGACACCAGATTAAAACCAACATCGAACACAATGTCATCGAAGCTGCAAGCCCTATTATCGTATGATTCCACGTTGTCCGTGTTATGCAGTCACCTTCAGGCGGTGTCGAATGTATAAGAGAGTTAAAGAGATTTGTTCTATGGACTAGATTCTTACTTGGTAAGTTGGGCTTATGAAGTTAATGAATAATGCTCTATTGGCTATTTTGACCAATAACCTAGCCTAATTTAAGTCTACACTCTTGTTCCTATATAAATACCCGACGCAATATTCTAGCACTCATGATTTAAAGTTAGTCTTATAGTTTTGTCAGATTTGATTCATGGCCGTAAATTTTATCACAGTTTCTTATAAACATTCCTGATATTAGATTTTCCTTTTTCGCAATGCTTATAAAGAAAGAGAAGTTTAATAACACCTACACTAAACCTTTTAGTTTGCTTATGGATTCCAATTACTTTAAACGGAATACTGAGCTGCCTACTGCACATCGCCCAAATAATCTTTTCTATCATATCAGCAGATGGAAGTTCTATATTCATTTTGACGTTCCTTGTGCTTGCATATATTCTGTTCTCCAATATCCCTCCTCTTTCCAAACCTTTTCCTTGGAGTGGCTGTTGTTTTAATAGCAGGACTAAGATACCTACATAAGACAGTATTTTGGCTGTTTTACCCTGATCTTGGAACAATAACCCATTTTCTGCAGACTCAGGGTCCCTAGAAAGCCCTATGAGAGGATCACCGTATAACGAGATGCCATTATAAAACAGTCATATAACAGTTCTGTAAGGTCAAGCAGCAAGTTTATGTTGCTGTGTTGTTGAAGTGGTATAGGGGGTAGACAGTAGCTGCCATGCTCTCAAATTGGGAAGAAAGTATTAGTATTGGAGCACATGGAACCAGGCTGGGGTTGTTGTCACACTTTGGTTGAAAAAATAATAGAGTTTGACGTTGGCATTCACTACATTGGAGAGATAGAATGATGGTAAAAATACAACAAGTTTGTGGATCAGTTGGACAGAAGGCCAGCTTGACTGGGCTCCATTGATGAAACCCATTTGACAAGGTATCCAATTGGTCCGAGTGGCTGATATGAGACCGTACCATATATATGACATGCAGAGTTTGCAAAAGCGCTGAAGCGCGTTTCCCAGTTGAAGAAACATGGTGCTATTGATAGATATATCCGGTTGGTAAAAGAAATCTCAGAATTACCTGAAGTCATAACGCAGTGTTAAGCTCATGCCACTACCTTTGACTATAACTTCTTCTCAAGATGGGAATC